GCGCACTTCCAGGCCAAGGTTCCTGCAGCGCTGAGGCCCCGGCAAGGGGCGGGTCTATCAGTTACTATGGCGCTGCCCGCGAGCCTGCGGGAAGGGGGGGTGGGCTCTGTTACTCACGGATCTGCCGCGGGGATCTCCGAACTTTTGGTGTCCGCAGGTCTGTAGCTGTGGTCGCAGGTCTCTGTCCCCAGTGGCTGCAGGGTCCTGGTATGCGTCTGAGATCAGACTGGGTGGTGCTGAGGCCAGGATCCTAGTCTCAAGCAGCTCTGTTTCCCAAGATGGCGTGGTCGCTGTGCCTGGGCTGGCCGCCTAGGAGTGTCCGCGCCGGGAGCTGGACTCCGCCGCCTAAGACTGCCCGGTTTAGCAGCCCCTTAGAAGACCTGCAGAATCTAGCTGTCCCTAGCTCATACACACACACCACACACGTCCACACACTCCTCTATCACTTCCTTGCACTCTCACACTCTCTCCCTCCCTACCTTCCTGCTGGTCGCCATTTTTTCTTCGACGAGAATCGGAAAGAGATATTCTTAATCTTATTCTTTGATATTTGAGAATGATGGTTGGAATATAGCTTGGAAGCTTGAAATGGGGGGACAAAAATAAGGATATGTACATACATGTTCACATGACACCTCAGGGCTTAGCAACAATTATGGCTTCCACTAAAGGAAGTATATTAGTTTTTGAGATATTTCTTATTTTTATTAAGTCTGAATTTATACTTACTGCTTTAGGAAGAAGAAGAGGAAGAGGAAGAAGAGGAAGAAGAAGAAGACATTGACCACCTGGTGAAGTTGCATCGCCAGAAACTAGCCAGAAGCAGCCTGCGAAGTGGCTCCTCCATGGTAAGTTCTATTAGTTCTTTGACTATAGACATGTTTGGATACCAGGAAGGAAGAAAGTGTCACCTTGGAGCAGAGTCAGGACCTGGGGAAACATTCTAGTCACTTTTTCTAGGTAACCTAGAAAGGTGCTGTCAGGGGAGGCTAGTTGGGGGCGATCAGGCTGGCAGGGGAGCAGTTAGGCGTCAACTTAGACTAACTGTTCCTGTCCTCAATTTAGATCATAGTTGCTTACTGCACAGCTAGGTGACTTCCTCAGCCTCTGTCCTAGAGATTAATATGTTACGTAAGAATTAGGGATAGAGATGTGTTTCATCACAGCTTTTTGAACAGTAACCCTTAACTTCTTTCTTAAAGAGTTACTCAGGCCATGAAGTGAGCAAAATCAGATTTCTTTATCAGAACCCAACCCAAATCTCACATTCAAGGATAGTGAGTGTCATGAGAAGGGCCCTGGCAGTATTAATTGGCATTAGGGTGTGATTAAGGAGCAACAGTACCAATCATAATCATGAAGTTAAAAGAACGTTTAAGAATTAGGGCCTAGTTACATCATAAGTATGAAGATTGATGTTTAGGAGGAGCAAGAGTCAGGAACCAGAGTGATTAGAGTTTGTTCCTGCTCACACACAGGAAGAGAATAGCAGGCTTGCAGAGTTTATCACAACCTGAGAAGATGTATTTTTACCTCAGGTGGGATTTTGATCCATTCACTTTTTTCTGTAGCCTTTGATAGGAATAAGATAGGGAAAAGAAACACACAGATAATTAAGGCACTTTGTTTTAAGTAGTAACTGTCCCCTTATAGCGAGTGTTTTAGCATATATAACAAATACCAGAAGTGAGATTATGTCCACTTTACCTGTATGCCTTGCCCACCTTCTAAGGCAGGTGAAAATTAACAATAAAATATGTAAGAATAGGGGAAGAGGAGAAACTAAGAACCTATAAGAGTCATGAGCTGAAGTGAGAGTGCTACTAGATGTCTCTTATACTCTGAGTACAAGAGTGTTGGTATACTGGCTCGTTGTAGGAACTTTGGACATTTTTGTTTTATTCAGTGACTGTGGTTGTATCATGAGGAAAGATGTGAGCCATGTGGATGGGGGAGTATGCCTTCACCAGATGTTTGTGGGTGCTTTATCTTCAGAGTACAATAGGCAGCACGATGAGCATCTATAGTGAAGCTGGTGATTTCGGGAACATCTCTGTGACTGGCAAGATTGCCTTTTCCCTGAAGTATGAGCAGCAAACACAGACTTTGGTCATCCACGTGAAGGAGTGCCACCAGCTGGCTTATGCTGATGAAGTTAAGAAGCGCTCTAATCCGTGAGTGTTTCTAGAACCTGACTGATGCTCTGAAATGAGAGCTCAGACCCTGTCATCTATTTGGGAACTCTTGAACTGAGATTATCCCTTCCTGGACGAATAGGAATGTGTGATTGAGAGTGGTTAGGAGAGATGTGGGAAAGGGACCACGATCGGGAAAATGCAAGAATGGCATATCTAAGAGGGTTTGATATGACATTTTAATTTCTGGTTTCCAGATATGTGAAGACTTATCTGCTGCCTGACAAGTCCAGGCAAGGAAAAAGAAAAACCAGCATCAAGAGGGACACCATCAATCCACTATATGATGAGACCTTCAGAGTAAGTATCCAGATCCAGAGGGAAGGGGAACATGTTCTATCTTGTGCACTAAGTAAGCTGTAGCTGTTCTCCTGCTACATGGCTGGTTGACATGGTTTTCAGTGGCCATGTCTGTGTCTAGGAATACACTATGGGCATCTGTTCACATCCTGGCCTCCAGAGAAGAGAACAAAGGTGATCTGGCTTTCATGTATTGTTGTGAAGATAGATATTCACATGGCCACAAATCTCCATTTAAGAAGACATTTGGTGGATCAAAGATGGTGGCAGAGTAGATAGAAGTTACACTTACCTTCTCCTAGGACCATAGCAAAATTACAACTAAACTACAGAACAATCAATCTGAATACCCAACTGAAGACTAGCTGAACAGAAGTCATAACTAAGGATATACAGAAGAAGGCACGTTGAGACTGGTAGGAGGGGCAGAGACATGAAAAGGACTGACCCTGTACGCACTTGCTGTGGTTTAGAACCTGAAGGGATATTTCTGCTGAAGAGGTTCCCTCATAGGAGCAAGGGACCTCAACTACATGCCAGACTCCCTAGCCCAGAGTACCCTAGTTGGGAAAAGGAGCTCACATAATATCTGGCTGTGAAAATCAGCAGGGAATCCATCCACAAAGGTGTGATGGGAGACTGCTGGAAACCCAGGAATCCTCTTAAAGAACCAGTACACAAAATCTCACTTTCAGGCACTCACCCTGGGCTCTGTGGAAGGGATGATGGCTCGAAGGAGGGAGGAGACTGGTTTCATACAGGAAGAGATTTGGTTGAATGACTTGGGGAAAGGGCTGGAGGGATAGCCACCAATGTACTTGTGCTGGGTCTGTCTTTTATACTGCCCATTGATGCCATCTTTCCTGGGTCAAGCACTTCCATCCATACAGCATTAGCCAGGAGAGATGCACTGGCCCCTCCCCACTGAGTACCTGAGGCCTGCTCTGCCAAGATAACTCCAATGGAGATATCTGCTCAAGGCCTCCAGCCTGGACCTGCATTGCAGTCTTTCTTGAAAAACTCTCAAGGAAATTAAGAAAAACTCAGGGAATGCCAGAGACACACAGGGAGAAACTGAGTTGTGTAGCTTTGGGGTAAGGGCCCTTTTTTCCCACATGCACAAGGAGGCACCACCATTCCTGTGTTTGGCCAGTTTCCACGATCACACAGCATGAGCCTAGGGAGAGGCATTAACCCCTCTCTGCCAACTCCCTCAGGGCCCACCCCACTGCAAAGGTCTGCAGGCCTCAGGCAGGTAGCAGCTGGCCTTGGCATACCCTGAGACTTTTGCTGAGTGGCCTTAGACCCGGCACTGGTGCCTACTTTGTATGAAACACTCACCCCTACCGGGTAACTCACTGAGAACCTGCCTCATGCAACTCATGTACTGCCAGGGGCTCTTTTAGAGACTGAGTCTAATAGGCAACCAGCAGGCGGTGATGAGTTTTGGGGTGCCTTGGGACTTTTGGTGACCTGCCCCAGACTCAGTACTGGTGTCAGCCAGCCTTGATGCACAGCTTGGCCCCTCCAGTAAGAACTCAGGCCATGCAAGAGCAGCTACCAACCATGGATTTCCTTGTGGTGCCTAACAGGCAACCTGGGACTGGCTACAGACTGTCTAAATTGACGTGCACTGGAGTCCCTTCCAAGAGGCCTCAGAACCAACACATTGTTGGCTAGCTTGAGACCACATCAGAACATGGCACACAGAAAGGAGGTCTGGGCATGTAACAGAACCTGCAGGTGCAAGTTCCACCTCAGGGGTCAGCAGCTCATATACTGTGGTTGGGGTCAATTCTCACAGGCTGAGCCTGCCTGAGGGTCAACTCCACTCACTATTGGGCCAACATCATTCAAGACTCAAATGCAACAGGAGAGATCACATAACCCACACAAGACACACTCCTAAAACACTCAGCTCAGGTAATCATAAAACTGCACTGCTAAGACCCATAGAACACCAACTACATAAGACCACTCTACAAAACCTGGGAGAAATAGCATATCTACCAAATACTTAGAAGCAGACACAGAGAGGCAGCCAAAATTGGAAGATAAAGACACATGTCCCAAATAAAAGAATAGAAGAAATCTCCAGGAAAAGAAATAAATGGAATGGAGGCAAACAATAAAGTGATATAGAGTTCTAAGTAATGGTTATAAGGATGCTAAAGGAACTTAGAGGAAGAATAGATGAACTCAGTGAGAATTTCAAAAAAGAGCTACTAAGCATAAGAAAGAACATAGAAACCATAAAAAATAGTCAAAATGAGTAATACAGTACTTAAATGAAGAATAAACTGTCAGAAATCAATAACAAATTAGATGAAGAGGATTGAATCAGTGATTTGGAATACAATTTAGCAGAAAACACCCAATCAGAGCATTGAAAGGAAAAAAGAATTTAAAGAAAATGAAGATTCAGGGACCTCTGTGAAGACATTAAGTTTAACAACATCCATATTATCTGGGAACTAGAAGAAGAGAGAATCAGGGATTGAAAACCTATTTGAAAAAATAATGACTGAAAACTTCCTACCCTGATGAATGAAAAAGACACACAGGTCCAGGAAGTACAGAGAGTCCTAAACAAGATGAACCCAAACAGACCCACACCAATACACATCATAATTAGAATGGCAAAGGTTAAAGACAAAGAGAAAATCATAAAATCAGCAAGAGAAAGACAGTTACCTGCAAAGGTACCCCATAAGACTGTGAGCTGATTCCTCAACAGAAACTTTTCAGGCCAGAAGTGACTGGCATGAAATATTCAAAGTGGTGATAAATAAAGGCCTAGAACCAAGATTACTCTACCTGGCAAGGCTACCATTTAAAACTGAAGGAAAATAAAGAGCTTCTGAGAGAAGAAAAAGCTAAAGGAGTTCATCACCACCAAACTGGTATTACAAGATAGGTTCAAGGGAGTTAAAGAAAAAAGAAAGTAAAAACAGAAAAATAAATATGAATGAAAATAGCAATAAATAGGTACCTATAGATAATCACTTTATATTTAAATGGATTAGATGCTCCAATCAAAAGACATAGGGTAACTGAATGGGTAAGAAAATAAGATCCTGCTGTCTACAAGAGGTCTACTTCATATCAAAAGTCACACAGACTGAAGTAAAGGATGGAAAAAACATTTCATGCAAATAGAAATATAAAAAAGGCTGGGATATCAGTACTTATATCAGACAAAATAGATTTTAAAGGCTATTAAAAAAGACAAAGAAGAACATTACATAAAAATAACTGGATCAATCCAACATTTATGCACCCAACACAGGAGCATGTAAATATATAAAGGAAATATTGATGGACATAAAGGGAGAGGTCAAGAGTAATACAGTCATAGCAGGCTACCTTAACACCCATTAACATTAATGGATAGATCTTCCAGATGAAAAATCAACAAGGAAACAGCAGCCTTAAATGACACATTAGACTAGATGGATTTAATTAATATTTTCAGATCATTTTACTCCAAAATGGCAGAATATACATTATTTTCAAGTGCACATGGAGGAACTTTTTTGCAAAATAGACCACATGTTAAAACATCTCAATAAATTAAAGAAGATTGGAGTCATATCAAGTATCTTCTCCAATCACAATCTTTTGAAACTAGAAATCAATTACAAGAAAAAATGAAAAACACACAAATACATGGAGGTTAAATGACATATTACTAAACAATAAATTGATTAACAACAAGATCAAGGAAGAATTCAAAAGATACCTTGAGACAAATAAAAATGAAAACACAACAACCCCAAATTTATGAGACACAGTGAAAGCAGTCTCAATGGGGAAATTCATAGTAATACAGGCCTACCTCAAGAAAAATCTCAATAGTGCACAAGAGCTCCCTTTTCTCCGCATCCTCTCCAATACTTGTCATTTGTTGATTTGTTGATGATAGCCATTTTTACAGGTGTGAAGTGCTACCTCGTTGTTTTGATTTGCATCTCTCAGATGATCAGTGACTTTGAGCACGTTTTCATATGCCTTTTGGCCTTCTGTATGTCCATTTTGGAGACTGAAGACTGGTGCAGCCTCTGTGGAAAACAGTTTGGAGTTTCCTCAAAAAATTGAAAATGGAACTCTCATTTGACCCAGTGATCCCACTTCTAGGAATATATCCCAAGAGATCAGAAACACCAATCAGAAAGAATATATGCACCCCTATGTTCATAGCAGCACAATTTACAATAGCTAAGATTTGGAAACAGCCTAAGTGCCCATCAGCATATGGGTGGATTAAAAACCTATGGTACATCTATACAATGGAATACTATGCAGCTATGAAAAAGAAAGAACTCTTACCATTTGCAACAGCATGAATGGACCTAGAGAGCATTATGCTAAGCAAAATAAGACAGTCAGATAAAGATAAGTATCACATGATCTCACTCATGTGGAATCTAATGACCAACATAAACTGATGAACAAAAATAGATCCAGAGACATAGAAACATCAAACAAACTGTCAAACCTCAGAGGGAAGGCAGAGGAGGGTGGAGGGGGGGGAGATATCAATCAATGAACTCATATGCATATACGCATAACCCAAGGACACAGACAGAGGGTGGTGAAGGATTGGGGTGTGGGGTGGGAGAGTGCAATGGGGGAAAAAGGGACATATATGATACTTTCAACAATAAAGATCTATTTTTTTTAAAAAAGAAAAATCTCAAATAAACAATCTAACCTTACACCTAAAGGAACCAGAAAAAGAACAACAAACAAAGCCCAAGTTGAGTAGAAGGGAGGAAATAATAATCATAGCAGAAATAAATAAAATAGAGATTAAAATAAACAACACAGCTTTCTGCCAGTAGACGCCAATGAGTAAGCATCATTAAAGCCCCCCCCCCCCCCCCCATGTCTATGTCAGAATTCCCCAAAAGCCTGAACAGATGCAGAAGCTCTTTAACAGAGGTTTGGGCTTTGGAACAACCATTGAGAATCTGAGGAGTGAATATGAGCAATGGGGA